GGGGATCCGGACCCCCCGGGCCCTCCCACTGGATCCGCCACTGCTTTGCTGCCCTTTGACATCCTTTCTAAAGCATTCTGTAGTTCATGGTAGTTCGAACACACCCGATTGCTAGCTATAGATGCACGTTCTGAACTTGAAACACAATCTGATTATAAACAGCAGCTAAAATAAAAGAAGTGCACAGCGCCCCTCGAGCAAAAACAGGGGAAAAAGTTATTCTTTTCTTTAACTAGTTACAAAAGATACAGGCCAAAGCTAGTTTTATTTCATAAATGTTTTAGGAAACACCATGGAAGAATTTCTTCCCTCCTTCCCAAATGCGCGGGGTAGAATTACGTGACGTGACATGCTTTGCATGACTGCACTAAAAGCTGGTTTGCCTGTGGCAGTTCGACAGTTGTTTTCGTTTTGCCGTGGCGGCAAGTGAAATTGTTACAGTTATAAGTTGAAATTCTTCATTCATTTCCTTCTGGAGGTCTTTCCGAGGAATCTTCTGAGAAGTTCTATGGACTCTTAAACTAACACAGTCTCAGGTGGGTATCGTTGGATTAAAAATTGTTAATTCGTTAAATAGCATAAATCGCTGCATAAAATTCACAGCAGAAAACGGAACAGATTTGATACTCGTCAATTTTGTTGTATTTTTTACCGCTTTGTGGACCTTTTGACACTTAATACTTTAACTCAGCTTTATTTTAAAAAATCTATACACATTTCAGACCAATATTGTTTCGAGAAGTTACCGAATAATTAAAGGTTTGGCGCCTACCGTAATTCGCATTTGGTTGTGCTTCGGTCAGAGGTCACGTTTTTTCGTCCGTTTCTAGTGTAACATTTACATTTGCTTCGCTTTGTCAGCGCTCGTGATTTCATTTACCCAAAAATTTTATTTCGCTAATTTGAAGAAAAAAGCATGCTCTTTCAGACTAAACAAGCCTTGGTGTTCAAAGCCATGTACCAATCCGCTTTTTTAGCTCGTGAAAAAGTGCTAAATTTTGACGGTTGTTTAAGCGATTTTGAGTCAACAACTTTGAAAATTTCTTAAAAAATCTCTTGTTGACCAAATCGCGAACTAATCAGGTAAAATTATAGAGGAAAGGTAGCAAAAATATGAAGTGTCATTATACTTTAATAGCCAACTTTATTTTAAAATGTACGAGCCACTGAATATGACTCTAATTTTGCATGATTTTTGCCCATTTTAGGCCTCGAGAAGAAAAAAATTCGTTAAAAAAATATTATTCACTCGATCGTACTTAAACCAACGATTTTGTAACTAGGGCCCATAGGGCTTTATTCTGACTGAGTTTGAGGCCAGGTCATTTTTTGACTATTTCCACGTCTAGTTGATATTTACGCGGAGTCGCTCTTAAGAGTCCTTCTCACGAAAAAAGCATTTTCTTAAAAATTCGTAGTTTTTTTTCGCTTCAAATTTTTTCAGGGCCACAATTGATTAACTAACTACCCGGATCCTGAATTTCATGGTCATTGAAAAACTGTGACATTATGTTCTATGAGCCCAAACTTGAGTAAACATTAAAGATTTTTAGCGTTTTGGCTAAGTTTGTGCTTTGGGAGTTGTCTATTGTTTCTAGTCTGTCATTATACAGCATTCTTGTTCAGCCCGCGTGCAATGACCACGCTTGGCTGACTTCCGAATGCTCACCGAGATATGATAATTTAGTATGAGAAAATAGAAGGGATTCCCGTCACGAGTTGGTTTAATTATTGGCTTGCATTAAACCTATGAATAATAATAGTAAGTAGATTTAGTGTGTAGCACTTCTTGATTTTTTTTTTCAAAGGCACAAGAAGCACGAGAATTGATTAAAAATTGTGAGTTAAACTTCTATGTATCGCATTCGGAAGTCAGCCAAGCGCGGTCATTGCACGCGTGCTGAACAAGAATGCTGTATTATGACAGACTAGAAACAATAGGCAACTCCCAAAACACAAACTTAGCCAAAACGCTAAAAATCTTCAATGTTTACTCAAGTTTGGGCTTATAGAACATAACGTCACAGTTTTCAATGACCATGAAATTCAGGATCCGGGTAGTTAGTTAATCAATTGTGGCCCTGAAAAAATTTGAAGCGAAAAAAACTACGAACTTTTAAGAAAATGCTTTTTTGTGAGAAGGACTCTTAAACGCTGACAAACGTCAACAAATAGCGAAAACTATAATTTCTATATGTTTGCTTTGGTCCAAATCGCGCTCATTTACAAGGCCCTAAAGCTTTTTGCTGACTTGCAAGGACCCATCTGTTATAACGATGCCCAAAATAAAGGGATAAGTCTCATAGTTTATTAGATATAATCGTGTAAAGTTTGCTTATCATTTTCGCATAAATTATGACCTAAATTTGGAAACCGCTGAATTTCTCGAATTGGGTCTTTGCGATTTTGGTGAGACTCTGTTCAGCGCAAGGCACTAATGCGCACTATGTGTAGCCGAGAGATTGGCCGTTTTTATGCTAGAGACGTTAAAGTCGTCTAGACGCATTTAACGTTTGAGACGTTAAAGTCGTCTGGTGTAAAAACGGGACGTCCAAAAGTAGACGACCTTATTTAAAAAAGTAGATTTTTCTGAAAAAAAGGACTAGGCTTACTCTCGGAAGACACTGGACACGAGTTAAAGCGGCACCAAAAATGAACTTCTCTGGACGAGTCGAGCATAAATGAGTCTTAGTTTACGACGTCCCGTCTTTATACCAGACGACTTTAACGTCTCAGACGTTAAAGTCGTCTGTTAAGTGCGTCGTTCGGACGCACTTAACAGAAGACGTTAAAGCCGTCAGACGTTAAATTCGTCTGCCTTATTTACCGTTTTTATACTAGACGTTAAAGTCGTCTTAAGACGACTTTAACGTCTCAGACGACTTTAACGTCTCTAGCATAAAAACGGCCATTTTCACGAAAGAATGCCGGCAACAGCAGATTTTCGACTCAGACCTCAGAGGGGCGTGGCATTATAACCACGTGACATTTACTCCGATCGCCAAAAATTTTATGTAATACACCCTATGCAGAACGAAAAGAGACTGGGAGCGATCAACTTGAAAACGAGGCTAGTTGGGCCTGGTAAATAAGAATGGCCGCCTGATGTGAAGGGCGCCAGTTTTTGAAAATGCCGCAAAATTGTTGTGTTCCAAACTGTACCAAAAAGAAATACAGAACCGAAAACGGGGAGAAAATTTCTTACTTGAAGTTTCCAGACGACGTTATCCTCAAAAAACGTTGGCTCCATGCCATTCGTCGAGACGAAGGAAAAGCGTTTAGAGTCAACCAAAACACGAAGATCTGTTCTCGTCATTTTAAGCCCGAGGACTTGGTTAAAGCTATTGGAGGTCAGCGTGTTTATGTAAAGGCAGGGGTAATTCCATCTCGATTTTCGTGGTCCAAAGGTTCTCCGAAAAAGCGAGCACCTCCTAAATGTCGCAATCTTTCGTCTACAACAGAGTGTTCAAACAAGGAGTTGCAATCATCTCAAAGTCAAACAACTGCAGATGCAGCTGAAGCAACTTCTGAAACCTGTACTTCATCAGCAGCTTTTAGTTATCATGATGTGGAAAACAGCTTAAGTTCGTGTGAAGATCAAACAGAAGAAGTTAAAAAACTTGAAGGAATTCGAGGTTTTGAACTTGAAAATGCGAAGTTAAAGGCTGAAATAGAGGTATTAAAACGCCAGAGGAGCCTTAAAGATTCCCGCCTTTTTCAGCTACGCAATTTTACTACGGACGAGGACATTGCCTTTTATACGGGATTTCCTAATTTAGCAACATTTAATGCTGTGTTTGAATTTTTAAATACTGGATCGAAAGGGGAAAACATTAGGTACTGTTCATCAAAAGAAAGAACTGTCCAAAAGGAGTTTTACGATAGTGGAAACGAGGAAGCAGAGGGATGTACTAGCATAGGTAGACGAAGAAGCTTAGAACCCAGAGAGGAGTTCTTCCTTGTTCTTTGCAGACTGAGAAGGGGATTTGCAGAAAAACATCTAGCTCACTTGTTTGGTATTTCGCAGTCGACAGTAAGCAGAACATTCCTTTCTTGGATAAATTACATGTATTTAAAATTTGGTCAAGTATCTATATGGCCCAATAGGGAGGTTATATGAGCTACAATGCCTGACAGCTTTAAAGAGAAATACTCTTGCACCCGTGTAATAATCGACTGTACAGAAATTAGATGCCAAATGCCTTCCAGCCTTCTGTTGAATTCCAAATTGTTCAGCTCCTATAAGAACCATGTAACTCTAAAAGGCTTAGTTGGAATTGCTCCCAGTGGAGCTATAACTTTTATCAGTCAGCTATATAGTGGAAGCATTTCCGATCGCGAAATTGTTGAACGAAGTGGTTTCCTGAAGTTAGAATTTGACAATGGTGACACCGTGATGGCCGATAAAGGTTTTACAATTGAAGACCTACTCCCACTGGGTGTAACCCTAAACATTCCCCCCTTTTTAGGGTCTAATAGCCAAATGACAGCAGAAGATGTTATCAAGACTCAAGAAATTGCTTCTGTTAGAATACACGTTGAACGGGCCATCAATAAAATCAAGAATTTTCACTTATGGGATAGTGTTGTACCCCTCAGTTTGTTTGGGGTAGTAAACCAAATGTGGAGTGTCTGTGCCTTTTTATGTAACATTCAGGACCCTCTTATTTCCACTTAACACTGAGTTAGGCAGAGCTTTGAGGCACACTATAGAATTTCAGTCAATTTAATAAATGTAAACCTGCTTATCCACCTCAGGTCAAATATTCTCTAAACCAACTAAAACTAAGAATGTGATTCGCTTGCTTTCAGTCCCAAACACTTAAAAGATGTCAGCTTTTACATGTAGTTCTAAAGATCTTAAAATCAAAGAATAAAGAAAGCTATCTTATTATACAGACCATGTTGGTTGATACTCTGTTTTAAACATATCAAGTTAGGTATGAGACACAAAATTTCTCTTTACTCGTGCCAAGATTAGATTAGGGTAGTTAACCCTTCTAATGGTTACTGAACTCCACAGAAGCTGGTGCTATGAAATGTTCAAAATAGCTCTTCTTTAGGCCTTCATTCAATACGTCCCAGAATTGAGGATCAGATGTGATCCTCTCTATACTCACGCCTTTGTTAGTATAGATAACAAAGTCACACCAACTTGCTCCTGTAATACCTAGTTGACCCTGTATCTGAAAGTAGTACTGGTGCCCCCTTTTTAGCCTCGGCTTTCCATTTACATTTTCTGCATAAAAAGTTTCATCGGCACATGCTTCTAAAGGACTCACATGAAATTTAGAGTAGGGACATTTAACCTCTACCAGCCCAAAAGGCTTGCTACAGCCTCGGTCAATGACCTTGCCATCTGGTGATGCTGCTAAAAAGGGAGAGGCCATACTGACAACAAGGCCACTTTTGAACACTGAAACTGGGTTCCTTGTTGAAAACATATATCTTTCATATTCTTTTAAGGCTACAGGCTCATAGGTTTTCCCATGTGCAGTTTGTTTGGCAGTGAATGGTTTGGGATGAAGCAGATTATTTACTAGAGTGTTATGATTCCTTTGCCTTTTTACAATTGTGTGGAAATTAGATGCTGTATACCGAAATTTCCTTTCAGCCTGCCATTCCTGTGAGGCTGCTTGTTCACTTGTTTTCTTCTCTATGGTATTAAGCTTTGCCTCATCAACAATCAAATGATCCAGGAGTGCTTCCTGGTTGCTGCTTAAATCATCTGGCTTTTCATACTGCTCAGATTGTTGCAAAGGGAATGGAGGATATACAGAAATAGCATTTTGTTCATCATTACAGTCCACTCTAGGCACTGAGTCAATATTACAGAAAACTTGAAAATTAGACTCTGTGAACTGTAACTGGTAACTTGCATATGAGCCACTTGGACATTTTCCAAATTTTGTTTCCTGTAAGTTGGTACCACCAGTAGACATAATTTGAGACAAGGCAAACTTAGGGTTGATCTCTTGAAGCTTGTTTTTTAACAAAGCTTCATCAGATGCTTGTGTACCCAAATTTTTCCTAGCTTCATACAACAAGCACCTTACTCCACTATCAGGGTTATACTCTGTGTCTATATTCGACTTTTTTACCTCAAGTTCCATGACAGGTTGGGGCTTGATTTTATCTCCTCTTACAGGCCTGTGCCATAGTTGTAAACTTGAAGTGCATGCCTTAGCTTGTGTCATATCAGATTCATTTTCCAAGTCCTTAATATCTTGACAACAATACAAACTGAACTTACAGAGTTTGATCATAACAGCAAGCACATGATTGCAAAAACCAAGAGATCCTGCTACACATGTACACGAAGCATATTTAACAACTCCACTCACTAAACAAAGTGCAACTTGTAATTTGTGGGGTGGCTCATTTTTTTTAAAGCTATGGTAACACAAGCATTTGAAATAGAAATATTGGTCATCACTTGCGCAAGTTAAGTCTTTCAGGTATTCATCATCAAGAAATGTTTGTGCCTTTTTCATGCTTGTTGGAACAGCATGGTTCTGTTTATTTCTGTCAAAGTTTTTTCCAGATTTAGAAATATGTAAATCCATCTCTGCCCTTGTGAATAATGGCATTCGTTGCAAACTTGTAGACCATCCGACTGATGGAAATTTAACAGTACTTTCCTCAGGCAACGCATCACTTTGAGCGAGTTGTTCTTGTCTCGCCTTTCGACGCGTGTATATCATTTTTTTATCGGGATCCACAACATCTTTATCACGACCAGACGCAACATATTCAAGAACTCTTCAAAATGAAAAGTAGAAAAACTATTAATCATTACATTTTTGAAACATTTCATCGAGAAAAATAACTCCTAAATCTTTTGATCTCTATTTACAATATCAAAGTCTCTTTTAATTCTTAAAAGTATCACGAACGACTGACAAATACTGTACTTACCTTTTCGCCAATTGTGCCTTTGTTTTTAACCCCTTTGCTGGATCGCCACGACATTTTAACCAAAAGCGAAGTTCATCTGTTTTAAGAGCAGTCGGATTTCTTCCCTGAAGCGATGCTCCGGGGATATCTTCCTCCGTAAGACTCTGAGAAAGACGGCTACTTACAGAGCCATGAGCGACCATATTTCTAACACGAGTAAACAAGGCCCAACTTTCAGGGCGGAAAAACGTAATGAGCATGCGTGGACTTTTTAGCCCAGATCCCCTGGCCGGGTTTGAAAAAATGGCGGGATTTCAAATATTTTCTTGCCTAAAAATAAAATGTTTCCACCCATAACCTGGAAAGAACAGGCAATTTGTCTTCAAAAGTTGCAAGCTGTGGTTATAACCTTGTGGTTACTTAATTTTCTCGAAGAATACCTCATAGTAAAACGGACTTTAACGACATTAATTTCCTTGCGTTGTACTGGAAATGTGCATGCGTAAGTCCCATTTTTTTCAAGATGCATTCACAAAATGTGTTCATATAAGGAAGTTTCTGGATATATAAGGTCCGGAGATCTACTGTGGACACAAAAACAATATATCTTTGGACAGTGATTTGCCCAAAAAAATTAACGCTTGCCCACAATGTGTTTGAAGTCACTGAACTTTGTCGCACTCGAGCGAATATTTTAAAACCCTCGCTCGATCGGACACTCGTAGTTTCGCAGATCACTAAAATATAAACAAAATCCTCAATGTAGAAGTTATTGCGTTGATATGTGAGCAGAAAGAAGGTCAATCTTTATCTGGTAAAATATTCCCAAAAATCGGTTTCAAAGCAACTATACTTTTTTAAACTTGCTCGTTTCGCGCAGATATATAAATTTTGCTTTGTGTTGTCAAGTTGAACACGCATAACATCTGTCAAAAACCTACAAGTAAGAAGGATTTCCTTCAAACAAAATTAAAGTTACATTATTTCAAAAACTTGTTGCTGACAATGAAGAAATGAATTTTCTGTACGAAAACAACCCACCTAAAGATCGTAAAAGCAAAAGATCAGTTGCAACTTGGCAGCCAAGCCATGATTCACCATTTAGCTATTATCAATGCAAGGTCTTCGTTTAAGCAAATTAAACTCAGCCGATCATTAGAAAATACAGAAAATTGCACATAAGGGTTTGTTTTGCTCGCCTCAGTCAAATCAAGCTGCAGCAATTGTTTACGGGAAAAGAGTCAATTGTTTTGAAGTTACTGCTGGCAGTTGTCGTTCTCTACTTCACAGCGAGTGAAAAGGACAATTTACGTACAGAAAGTTATTCTTATAAAGAACAGAAACTTTCGCAGTGCACTGGAAAACAAAACTATGTAATGAAAAATGAAAAAACTCCAACTATTATTACTTGAGCAACAGAAAAATGATCTTGAGTAAGCTTGCTGGCCTTCTATTTTCGAGAAAGTTTAATAAGCGCATAAGTTTGTTCACTCTGATGCGTGATAACAGCAATATGGTTCTTTGACTGAAGACAAAGATAAAGCTGGTTCTGCAAAGGTAATAAATGTGGGCATGTAAAAAAGTAACCGTAACTACTAATAACAGAATACAAGCGGGTTTTAATTCAACCCGGCGAAATCAACTCATAAATTAATCGGATGCACAATCAGAAAAATACTCGCCTCTTAAGAAATGTTCAAAACCTTTTATTCCACCTCAGACTGACGGAATGATCCGTTTTTCCTTTAACATTGGTTGTTCCGAATCCAAAGTAATTTTCAAGCGACGTAAAAAAAGCAAACATGTTAAATAAAAATGCTTTACAGGGAACAAACGTTCGCACCTCGTGCATTTCACTCAGAACTCCAGCAACAAACAAACACAGTCAACACACAGAAAAGCCCGCCTTGAGCCTGCGATAAGGGATGCGCAGAAGCTTGCGCAGAACGTTTTTCCGCCCTGAAGGCCCAACTAGCCTCGTTTTCAAGTTGATCGCTCCCAGTCTCTTTTCGTTCTGCATAGGGTGTATATTGTAGATTGATCTATATGTTATCCATTCTATGTGTTAGACTTACGATAAAAGTAAAGGTGGGGATACCAGAGAGCTGCAAAGTAGGATGGTAACCCCCCCAAAAGAACTGGGTCGAGTCACCTTAAGCTGATCAACCTTCCTGTGTGTTTTCGCCAGAAGAAACAAAAAGAATAACTTAGGAGGTGGCGAACAAGAGTCAGCAAAAATTTGAAATTATATCAGCTGCATAGCTTGAAAAACCCCATTACATAAATCTACTGAATCAGATCACGGTCAGTGATGCGTAAGACGTGAGACCAAAGCAATGCATTTTTGCTAATGATTTCGTCGAATTAAAAATAATCCTCCTCTTAAAGAGTCAAAATTTAGTAGGCACCCCTCTCTGGCAAACACTCTTTAATCGCCAGGTTTTGAACTGTTACACTAGCACTGACAGTCATGGAATGTAAATAATGACTTTATTGGAAGAGTACATCCAGTTTTTACAAAGACAACGGTTCAGTAAGCCTGCGCCACAGAAGAAACTTAACACTGGTTAAGTCCGTGTGCAAAACAGCGCCGAAATACTTTTTCTGAGGGCCGCGCTGTGCTTGGTCTGTTAAAAAGCCCATTGTCAATTTTCCAATCAGTATGAAAGGAAATCCCAAACGCCCTTCCAGTAATTCGTTGATTGCGTTGGGGTAGCAGACTAAACATCTCGGCACTGCTTCGCAGATGTATAACCGAGTTTAAATTACGTCTGCCACGCAGGGTACGGTTTAGTTAAAAGGCAAGTCATCACGCTTTTGTGAAGCAGTAGAGTACTTGACCATAAGGAAACCTTGAATTAAAGTGGTTTCCTATTTCATTTTTGGATTAAACCCCTTCCCATCTCTATGATATAATCCTCGTTCTCCCAGTTTCTGAAAAAAAGAAAATACAAGATGACATTTTACCTTGACAGGCGTTCTTAACGTTAAAGTGACTGGAACAGGGCAATTTTCTGCAGACAAAACCAGTGCTACGCTTCGGCTTAATTTTCAACGCATCAATCCAGGACAAAATCCTACAGGTGCACCATCGGTAGCAGCACAGCCTTCCCAGGGAACTCCAGTCTCTCAATCATCAGGAGGTATCTAGTCTTAACCCGCGGACGTACACGCAAATTCATACCCCACCACGGTACAAGGGGGGGGATGGAACCCCTCCTCGGAGTTTTTGATATGTTGCAGTATTTCGAAACGATTTTACCTTTCGTGGAAAGCAATTTATCTTCTTAACAATATGAGGTATATTTTATGGGTGATGGCGCTGCTGGAGGCCTGTGACGTCACCAACAATGGTCGCCATCTAGGCCGCCATCTTGGATTTTACCAAAATGGTGATTGTTGTGCTTCACAATAAAAACAACACATAAATAAGCACTTTGCATTATTTTAGCCACAAGGCTTGCCTTTATTGTTAAAAGAAGTTGAAAAAAGATGTATTTTCACCCAAAAATGGCTTGACAACCTGCTACTTATGTCGTCATATCTTGTAACGATAGCAACTGACCATCACTAAACTTGTCTCAAAATATGGCGAGGGATGAACGAACATCTGCTGAAAACGTGAGGTGCTAAAACATTTTATCCTCTCGAAAAAAACTCGGAAAAACCTTATGGGGGTGGCATCCACCACCCCGCGCCAACCTACCCCCCACGCCTCTTGTACCCTTGTACGTCCGAGGGTTAACTGACATTCGTTCTAAATCAAATATTGAACCTGATACAACAAAGTCGTATTTAATTTGAACCTGTCGAATTTAGTTGATTCAGACGTCCCATCTCAAAGCAGTTATCTCTCCAATTAAATTAGGCACGTGAAAATCGACGATTGAGTTGGGTAGTGATAACAATGTCCAGTTTTTACTGAAAAATACCGGAAGACAGGCTATGATACATACCGCATTTTTAATATTCCTGTAAACTTTGCTTTCAATTTACCACATTATATATGTTACTAGCTATATTCACCACACAGGTAAAAAACAAAAGTAAAAAAGAGATTTTAAAAAACGAAAAAATGTAAGGTTACGAAAAATATGTGTCAAGGGGATACGAAACCGGAACCTCAGAATCAGTAAGAATTAGAAGTTAGCGCCTCTATCCACTGGACAACCTAGGTAAACGCCGACACCTCGACTTGAAAAGAGGTATCTATTCCTTCTCTCTTGTGATGGACAGTTTTCAAGGATGACTTTTTCCCTTTTTTTTTAATTTCCCTGTAGAATTAAATCTTTAACTGATCGCAGCTAGACGTAAAGCTCACAATAAACCCATTAATACTCTTTAGGGCTTGGTCCATGCCGGGGAACGTTTAAGAAATTTATGAACTATCGATCGCACGGGTACCGACAGAACCGTATGACCGTACGATTCTCTCCCTGCTCGTATTGTCTTTTCTTCGGTCGGGGAAAACAATAACATCACATTGTTCATCATTATTTCCGCATTGTTTTAGGATAGGGCAGCGAACCGTTTGGCTTTTAGGGTTAGAAGAGCTGCTACATGCCCTCTGTCTTCGTGATGAAGAAAAACAATATGGCCGCCAAATACATCCTTTTAGTTCTTAAAGTTCTCCTTTAAACATTTATTTCGGCAAACAAACAGTTAAGTTGATAAAGGTTTGTACTTAAGTCTCAAGAGTAGGTCTCCTTTCTTTTCGATTTTAACTTGCAATATCGGTCAATTTACGCAACTCTTAAACTTCTGGCTTAGTTTTCGTTTGGTTCTGCTTTGAGAATGGAAACTCAGAGACAATACGGTGTAAAGAATTGTTGAGAAAAACAGCAAAAACTTGCCAATTTATGACAAAAAAGGTCATTTAAAAACGAACTAAACGTTCAAAACACTTTGCTCACGTGACTGTTGACCTCATGTCCCTCTTTTGGTCATAAACAAATTTATCAAGTAGAACCTTACTTTCCCCCAAATTTTCTCTGCCGTGTGATAAAAGGTTATCCTGCGAACAGCAGAGGTATTTCCTGTCGTCGCTTCTCTCCCTCCGAAAAATAACCAGTCCAGAAGATGCCTAAATTTAGAGACAGTCGTGACGTCATGGAGCTATTGTTCTCGGGGAAAATAGCGGATAAGACCAGAGTTGACTGTTTCGAGGCTCTCAGGCATACTTCGGAGACTTTTCATGAGGCACACAATTTTTTTAACAGTGCTGAGTATCGGAAGCCATATTGGAAGTGGATCGTGAAATATTCAGCACATTTTGTGGCTTATTTCTCCTTTTAAACAACACGATGGGGGCGAGATTTTGGTCAGTTTTTAAGGTAGGTGAACAAGTATCTATTATTTTTTTTCGATTCACAGAATTTTAACGAAGTTCTAGATATTTTTCCTCGATTGTCATATCGATTAACTTTTATTATGTTGAATGTGGGGATGGTAGACAACCTAGAATTTTGGTAGACAATTTTTGAATTCCGAGGTTCAAAACAAGTGTTCCACTCCCGGGTTTCAGGCAGAAATGGCAGGGCCCTGTTATCACTTTTTTTTTCGCATTAATAACTGTATTTACCTTTTTTCTTTTCAAGGTAAGCCTAGTTACAGTCTTAGGGATATTCAGTGTCCAACATCTCGCCTCATGCTCACTTTGTCGAATACGCGGGGATAAAATTAAAGATCGTAAACGCAACTCCAATAGATACTAACCGCCTTGTTTCTGAAATTCACCAAATCTGAAAATAATTATTTACTGTTGGATTCTCCAAACGTTTCTCCAGAGTTAAAAAAAAAAAAAAAGAAAGAAAGCAAATTTCAACTGTAAATGATGTACTTCGCTACTTATTAAACACTGACAATCTGGGTTGGATTTTAACTTTGCAGGTACGGCAGCAAGCAAAGAAAGCGCCAGGTGCGTGAAGTCCATGTGTGCTGGCAACACGAAACAAGACAAATTATTAAATTTGAACAACTTTTTGTTCTTGTCATTATGACTTGGTCTTTGATTCTTGTCCTGCAGAAGTTAATAGGTGGTACCATTCCTGTTTTGTACGATTTCAAGAAATTTTCATACACTCTCTACGGCTATTTTTACAGGGGACCAGTGTGCTTCTATCAACTTGTAAAACATGCTACTGAAGCCACGACCTCTGCAATTGGTCTGGAATATTCAAACACCCCAAGGATTCCTTGCAATGAACAACACTCTTATTCTCTTCATCAAATGTTTTCTTCGAAATAATGTGAAACCTAGACGAGAACCGTTAGCGTCTATTAAAAGGAAGACGAAATAACAATGCTCTGTCCTCCTCCGTCCGCCACTGTGAACAGTTTTTGAGCACTTGGTCGATGTTTTGGTAAACAAAAGCTTGCCCTGTCCCTAAATTTAGGGATATTCCGGACTGATAACGTCTGTGAACCCGAGTGGCAAAACGATTTCCGTGAAAAAAAACCTTTCGTTTTGTCGTTGGCCAATCAGATCAAAGGATAGAATACAGCTCGAGTGACTCCTCGCGACATCGCGCGTTGGGGTTTCTTGGATTTTGGCTGGGGTTACAAAATACGTACGCTTTGGAACGTGAATTTCACGACCATAACAAGGTTTCCTTCGACGTTGAATGCTGTTTATGAAGCAACTGCTTCTTACGCTATGTATGTGAAGTGGGCCTTTGGTTGCACTTTATAAAATACGGTAGTACGTGACATAAACAAAACCTGAACAAAATAAAATATTCCCAACAGCGAAAGCTAAGAAAAGTAACATAGCTTAATGACATCGCGCTCAGACTTATTTATTTCAATATAATCAGCGCTGACAAATGGTGGTGAATCAATTATACAGACACATCCTTGACTGATTCGGAAATCTCTGACAATCGCTCGTTAATAATTTAAGTATCGCCACAAAAGAATGATCCGAAATATTGTAAACCTGGGCCAGACCGACCGTGAAATAAATAGCTACAGCAGTGAATTGATCATAGCCAAGATGACATTTCAGCTACGACGCTTCGACTCATATAAAAAAAACTATGGAAATTAAAACCTTGAAAAGACACGTATTTTTAGAAAAGAAATATAAGAACAAAAATGATTTCGATCTGATCAAAGTTCTGTTTGATTCAAGAAGTAAACACGCTTGGGAAATAAATTACCACATGTCCTAGTGTTCAAAAATAAGGGATATGTACTAAAAAATATCTAAAGCGGCACACGACAAAGTATCGAAGAGTTCCCCAAAGCATACTTTCCTGCGAGGAACCACAAGGGAATAGAAGTGACAAAAGGCATGATGCGTCTACTATGATCATTAGGTCATTTATCGTTTCGAATATGATCAAAATAACTAGGTGTGGTAAATCATTGACTCCGTAGGCAAATTTGTAAGAAATGTTCTCTAATTTTTTCTTCAATAGGAATCCTCTTGATGCTTATTTCATCAATCAGTCCCAAAATCCTGGCAAATTTACTTTCGTAAACGCGTCGTTCTGAGGAAAAAGGGCGGCTATAGACAAGCTACGTCGTCCTTTTAATTTCGATTTGTAAACATATCCACCGCGAACACTCTTGCGAGAAGTCTCGCGAGTTAGCTCCTTGATTTTAAGAGTTAGTCCATGATTGACTAGAAAGGTTTTACGTCACGGAAATCGTTTTGCCGCTCGGGTTCGCAGAAGTTCGTTTTCGGAGGGAGAGAAGCGACGGAATTACGTCTGCTGTTCGCATGCTAATAAAAGGTTGATTGTCTACAGCCCTCGCCTAGTCTCCCGACGTTTTCGCTCATGTTCATTACAGCTTTAAATTTTAAATGCCGGACGTCAACTGGTTATTTTTAAATGCCCCACACAACTTAACCCGCAAATATGCTATTTGTTTTGCCTCGTTGATGAAATCTTGTCACAGCAACAAAAAAACCTTATTCGGAAATAGTCACGTGGCTGATGCCGTCATTACCTTAGATTTGACATGGTAAGATATTTTATGGCAAAACGTTATCTTGTTGTGGTCGACAGTTTTCTGCGTATAAAATTGTCAAAGTTATAAGGCTTTTAAAAATTGCCCCAAAGGATTCTGGGAGATTTTTTTATGGTAATTATAATTTGCTTTTATAATTATCATCATCATCACATGTCGCAGTAGGTAAAATGTAGCAATTCAACTAATTCAACGCGGGTTTAAAGGAGGATCCCGAAATTTTGTTTGTTTGCTTGTTGTTGTTTTTTTTTTCGTTAAGAGTTCACTGAAGAAGAAAGAGCTGGTTTGGCAAAACATAACGACTATCGCCAAATACACGAAGCTCCACCAATGAAACTCAATAGAGAGATGTGCGACCAGGCTAAGGCCTACGCTGAGAGACTTGCTGCAATGGGGACACTGAAGCATTCGCCTAAGAGCGAGAGAAGTGGACAAGGAGAGAACCTTTCCATGGGATGCTCCACCAGAGGTCCACAGTCCATGGAAGAGGCTGTCACAAACTGGTGAGAGATAAACCCTAAGAGTAATCAGCATCAAAATTCTCCTTGTGATATTAATGCTTTATAAAACAGATCGGTGACGAGAATGAAGGAAATGATCACAAAAGATGAATCTGATTGATTTCTCCACCCTTCTATAGGAAACATATGCGGACAACAGAGGATGTAAATGCCTCATTGAATTCGACTTTTCTGCCATCCAAGTCCCTTTAGCTACCTCGTCCTTCTTCCTTATCTTCCCTTTTGCCATCTTTTTATTTTACATGAGGATCGCAATGGGGTTAACCGTCGGCCGTCAAACGGCCTGAAATTTAAACTTCAGCCGTAGAAAAAGGTAATTTTGTACTGTCAACCGTCAAAAATGTAGACTAATCTTAACCGTCAAAACGTTTCAAGGTCAGTTTCAAATCTCACCATTTCAGCTGATCTTCAAGGCGTTCTGGCTCCTGAAGAATTTCTAAACTTGAAAAACAAATTCCTATGTTCTCAAACATTAACAGATCTTAAAACTTGTGATTATATTTCCAAATTTTATGAGTGAAAGGCCATAGCTCTCTCAAAAGGTCTACTATTCAACCGTCAACAGTCAAAATTGGAAAAAATAACCGTCAAAGCTACTGCCCCATTGAGACCCTCTTTTCTGGTCTGCGTGGTAATTTCCGATACCCGGGTTTCAAGCTCTTGAGCACTGACTGGTAGATCAGCTACGGCAATATGTCTGGACATTGGAAAGTTCCAGGAAGTGACCAACTTTTTCTCCTTGAGAAAAGTATAAAAATTCAGGAAATTCGGTTAGGCATAAATTCCCTTTATTTTACTGACTGACATTACATCAGAAACTTTCTTGTCGATGAGCCAGTCTACAGTGTGAAATAAGCAAAGCCCTGCACCTTGTTTCTCTGTCATATTTAGGGCTTCTCTTCCTTTTGAAATTTGTAAAAATACATATTTAAATGCGTTTTAGGTACAACGAAGTCTGTGATCCTGGCTATAATTTCGCTAGCGGTGGATTTTCATCTGGCACGGGTCACTTCACCCAAGTGGTTTGGAAAGGAAGCACTGAGCTTGGAATTGGGAGAGCTGAATCTACCAAAGGATCAATGAAATGTGCCTATATTGTAGGCAGATACAAACCAGCTGGAAACATGATGGGTGACTTTCCAGAAAACGTAGAAAAAGGAAGTTTCGACAGAAGTCAGTGTAATTCCAATTCTGATTTACCCTGGGCAAAATTCGTTGATCAGAATGAAGAAGGTCCTTTTAAAAAAAATCGTTTTACTAAGGTCGATGTTCCAGAATATCGTGATAATGTGACATTGAGCTTCTGAAGAAGAAATCTTTTCGTATCCTTCTAGTAGTGTAACTCATAGTTGGAGATTGATATTATGGTCTTAATTAAAAGCTCCTCTCCTCAATAAACGCGTCGTCAGTCTTAAAGGGTCGGTAGGCACATATTTTTTGCTATTGGCCAAATAAATTCCAAAAAAATCATCATCATTTAACAGCGTCATCAACATTATGATCATGTATTATAATCATCACCCTCATTGTCGAATCAAAACTATGATACTTGGGGGTTCTTTTAATATATATGATAATGCTTTTTGTAACCGTGTTTGATGAGGGTGACTTGACTTGCCTTGCCTGGACTGGTCTTGACTTTTGACCGTATATGTAGGGTTGGGAGGGTATTTAAAGCTGGAGATGCACCCCGGGTGATAAACTTTAATTTCATTACTGGCCTTACTGCTGAAAAACTCAGTGAAGGATAATAAAATCAGTATCCATAAAAATGAATGTTCAGATATTACCATTGCATACAATCTCCTCACTCGTACAGGTTACTGTATTATATCTCGGAATTCTCATTTACATCTGATTATATTAGATTATATTAGTCGGAGCAAACACTTGTGAAAGGATAAAGTAAAGTTTATAAGTAGAGGTGGAATATAATAGTCCGGGCGAGTGTAGTCCGGTATAAGTGTAGGACTGTTGTTGACAGCAACCGACGTTTCGATAACCTGTGCAATTATCATCTTCAGTTTCAAAGAAATAAATTTAAGTTTCTCCCTGACCAGCTAACGAATTTTCATCAATACAGCTGGAGACGGGTACCTTACACTTAGTTAACTGACCTCTCAACTTGACCCTTGGACGCTCACGCAAATGTATCCCCTCACCGTGTGGTACAAGGGAGATTGATGAAACCTCTCCCTTGAGTTTTTTATTGATCTTCTCAACAAGATGAGGTATATATTTTATGAGTGGTGGCGCAACTGGAGGCATGTGACGTCATGGACAATGGTCGCCATTTTGGTTTTTGCCGAGAATTAGGTTAAAACCGCAAGAAGTGCTAATTTGTTGTACTTGACAAATAAAATAACACATAAATAAGCACTTTGCATCATTTTATCCACAATCTTTACTTTTATTGGTGAAAAAAGTTGAGAAAACATGCATGGCCATGGCTTGACCACCTGCTTCTTATGGTTTTCTGTGTGCTCAAGTCTCTCCTTGGAATTGCGAGACAATGGAGTAGAAAAAAATATGCATTTTTGACCCTAAAGCCTCGGAGTTGTGATAGAATTTTAATATATCGAACGTTGGCTATTACAGTATACAGATGTGGAGTTTAAGGCAAACTCTGAGCTTTAGGAACTTCTTCAATGAAGATCCGGGACACAGACTGCCAGCCCGTGGAGGCATCACCAGCGACTCCATGTTGACAATTACCAACCCAGAATCCCACGCGTACCCTTCCTTTGTGAATGTTGTTACAATGCCCCTCAATATGGCGAACGCGGTGAGGATCTTGAGTTTTGCCTTGCCACACGTACACAATACCGTCAATGGCTAAGGGAGCTGAACACTCTGCGCCGTTGAAAGTGAAATACCAGCGTTTGCAACAGGATGTACACTTGTAGACTCTAAAGGCACCGGTCCAGGAAACACGAAGAGCAGTATCAGAGAAGTTTTTATAGAAGACGCAGTCCTATACAATGACAATCAAGAAAACAACAAGTAAGGAAATGAAGCAACGACAGCAATAGGAATATATCTATTTCGGCCGAGTGATTCTCTTATTGATATATTATTACAAATTATCTATAATATATAGATTTAGCCAGGGCTAAAAGCGAAACGCTGGTTAATAATACTTATAAAAGGAAAAAAACAGATCGTCTAATGCTAAAAGGGGACGGCAATGAAAATGGTATCAAGATCAATAGATCTAATTAGCAAAAAAAGAAAAATTTGCACATGCAGCACACTTTTTTTCTAATTAGCAAAAACACAAATTTGCACTTGCAGCACTTTTTTTTGTCTTTCTTTGCCGTTGTTTTGCACGACTACAATGCCGTTTGTACGACTAAAACGTCAAGCGTCCTAGTTACTCATTATTTTTATGGAGGAGTTGTCGTATGTGCTTATCAAAGGTTTTGTTTCCTGTGTTCATGTTCGCTTTTATTTTTTCACTGCCGCTCATTTTCACCTGAATGGTTTTCTTCCAACGAAATTCGTCTCCTAGCACTTTCTCTGTTATCAACGTGATTGTAAACATAAAAAAATAACGTCGAAAAAGACAGGACTTTGTTTGTTTGTTTTTTATTTTTTTCTCTTTAAAAAACCGGGCGGCCATGTGATTTTCTTCCGTTACATTTCGGTTGCCATGCCTGTTGATTGAGTTATCTTATGTTGGTGTGCCTGTGGTCCGGACGGATGGTCGGTCGCTCGGGCGCTGTACGGTCCCGTGCATGATTACCAAATTTTCTATGATGGGTCGATTTACTTAGCTATAGGGCTCCGCACGCGCACGCTTCGCGCGCGCGTGGAGCTTCGCTAAAACGAGTTATCATAGTAGTTAGACTACTGATAATGTGAAACCTCCCGGCCAAAGTTGACAATTCCCTTATGGGAATACATAACAACTTTTCTTTTGCGTAACACTAATGAACTTGGAGTGATTCGAACGAAATATTCGACTTGTTTGAAATTGTTTAACTGTGTTTTGGAATTTTGTTTGCTAAAAAAACTTTTTTGCTAATAGAAGTTATCTATTACTAATCAATATAAAGAGAAAAATGTCAAGTTCTTGTCAATCTAATCTGCTTTATAAGTGCCGCAATTCCGCACCATTTTGCTTTTCGAAATGAGACCAAACACGAGATCCTAATGATAGCAAAGTTCATTGTTCCAAAACAAAGATAAACGACCGCTATTTATGTATCGACTGTGTCGGATGAGAATGAAATGGTCTTAAGTTGCAAAAAGGTGGACGTCGTCGCCATAGCAAAGAAACTGTGAGAATTGGACACTGATGTTCGCAATTCAAGAGATAAAACGAAGAGGTATTTTAATGTAGATGCAGTTTAACCTTACCTTTATCAAACCGTACTCCCTGTTATCATCCAAGTTTTTCCAAGCACACTCTCTCCAGTTCCTGATAGCCAGTATTCCACTTGATCCAGACTCCCCCTTAGGACCGGGGACACCTTGCTCCCCTCTAGCACCTTCTGCACCAGTAGGGCCAGGAGGTCCCTGGGGTCCAGTATTTCCTGGCATTCCTTGGTCACCTTTCGCCCCGTCACGGCCTGGTATCCCAGGTGTACCTGGTATGCCGGGTACTCCATTACAGGGGGATGTTGACTTCTTTAAAAAAGTGAAGCATGATACAGATATAGTATCTTTAAAAGTAGCAAGAGAAGAGAAAGGGTAGCCTTTCTTTTGACTTGAAGGAGAGCTTTGAGCTTCTGGAAGGTGGCATCCTGGTTGTTTCTTGGGGGGGGGAATGATGTTGTTTGGAAAACAAATAAATTAGGGTACAAAACATAAAGCAGCGTAGTCCGCCAATGGGCTCAAAGGCACCTTGCTGTGGTGTTGGACTGTCTGGTGTTGGTCTGCTAAGTATTCACTTCATATTTTATTTTTTAAAACTCCCAAATACAATTTCCTAAATTTTCCAAAATTTTTAACAATACGTCCCCCCCCCCATTTCCATTTATTAAAAACATTTGAAAGATCATCCAAATATTCTCAAAATATTAGTGAACTAAAGACTCCAACTTATAGAGTCTTTTTTGATGAACGAAACTCTTGGCAAGATATTTAAGAAAAAGGGCGCAAACAAACGAAAAAAATGCTTTCCCTCTAAGTCCCGTTCAGCGCATGTTGAAACAAGTCAAAAAATGTCCATGACAATATAAATAAAAACGAATTAATAAGCAGAAATAAATAATCTAAAATGTACGAAAACCTGTTAAGTAGCACATTGTCATATATTGATTTGCATAGTTCAATATCATGGAGGAATCGGGATAAATACTAATACACTCCATTGGACGATGATGATATCTCTCTTACTGAGCTTCTCATTCAAATTCTCCAGACTGATTTCTTTACATTTCCTTAGAGAATGAGCTAAGGGATTTTGCTAAAAAAAAAACAAAGCAGTTTTCCCTTTGGTGATCATCTTAATAATTTCTCGTGACCGTTTTTTCTGGATGATTTATTGATATTTGGGGGAGAAAATTTATGCTGAGAAAGATGTTTCATTTTTCAGGCGGTGACACAGGCGGCTGAGAAGAAAAAATCCGATTACTTCCAACGAGAGGGAGGGACTACTTTAAAAAATAAAGTATGACAGATACAATGTCGAGAAAATTGATGTTGGTCACCTTCGGGACTTATACTTAAGAATGTTCTTTGCAAGTGCTTTCTCGTCACTTTTATTCTTTACTACTTTCTAAATTACTTTATCTTTATCACTTTGTACTTTACTAATTGATGGTAAAAGATATAAAAGATATAACCTTACCTGGTTTGTTGTGTCCAAGGCGTGGGTAATTAAGGTAACCAGCCCAAATATAAGGATGAATATTTTGCAAGGTGGAGACATCATTTCACCTTTTGTAATTTAGCAGTTACTTTATCAGCTTATTTTATCGCGTTGTGAATGGAGTGCTACTAATCTTAATTAAACCTCTCTAAATTAGTCCTTTCTATATTGACTGACTCAAATTTTTCGGAAACCTTAGTGGCTATTCTCAACAAAAGACTGCTTCTGTATCGTTAAACGCTCTTTTATTTGTAGAGGACCCTGTGATCGTCGCTTGGTTTTTGGCTTTGCCAATGAAAGCATTCACAATAAACAGTTCTCTGGGGCGGGAGTGTAAATACTGATAACAAATTGAAGACAGTTTAATATTTACGTAGTTCTTGTTTACATGCGTCGTTCGAGCCGCTGAATAATAGGATAATTTAAACCTTGACAATATGATAACGCAAATTTATACTGGGACCACTCAGAATGACTAAAATAAAAATTTAATAAAAGTTTATGGAGGGTGCGCTGCTCTGACTGTCCAATAGAAACGACAAGGTGTAACAACGGTACATTTGGCAAAAATAAACAAACGCCTGCCATAAAGACAAAACTGATTGAGAGCGACAAATGTAAAGATTTGAAAGGAGCCAGCAGTGGTGGTGGTGGGACTTAAAGGATGGCCAATCAAACTGGCTTACTGTCGTGTCGCAATTGCTATTTAAGGCTCCTGGTCAAACATAACGTATCTTTATTGTCGAAAGCTAAACGAAGAAGACAAATTTGAAAAAGGAAATTCCTAACTGCGCAAAAACCAGGAAAACAGTTTGGTGACATAATGAAATGTCATGTGATCATATTTTGCTTGCTAAATTAGCGTTTTTGAGCCAAAAAACAAAAATCTAAATTGATGCGATTTTGCAGCTGTTGATTGCCTGCAATATACAAGGGCATGTAATTAGTTCCACTATAGTTTGCCCTCCTCCATTTATTCTAGTAATTTGTCCTAGATTTAAATCTTAAGAATAACATCTGTAATAAAAATGTCTTCTGCAGCGATAGGCACCACAAAAAATACTGAAACTGGGAAAATAAAAGTTTTCTTTACCGTACGATGTTTTTTGGCCCAAGGCGTTGTTAAATAGCCTCCTTCGATGTTTGAGAGTTGTGTAAGCAGTTTGTTGCGTCTGCTGCCATAATGCAGTGTCCCTGTGACTCTTCATCGTCAGGTGAAGGAAATTTTATAATCAAACTTCGAAATGAATTAATGGCAAATTTGTACGAATATTTTGGCTTGTTTGGTTGAATTAGTACTTTTAGAGAGTAAATTCTCCCACAAGTCGTTAGACACTTCAAAAGTTAAAAGGGACCAGCATTTGACCAATAAAATGATGATATATATGACCTTCTCAGTGGTTGTCATAACAGATTTAACCGACCAGCGAACGATCGAATATTACAGACGTCGCACTTCTCCCCCTCCTTTTAGGAGCCAGGTAAGATCGTTATTTCCAATAAAAACATTTTCGCGCAAATATCGACAAAATTGCTTGTCCTAAATCGTCAATTTGAGTCATTAAATCACTACAATTAGTTGATTTTCTTTTTTTTTTCTCAGTTCATTTACAAATACACTGCTACTGCCACTAGATTATAAATTGTGAGTTTCTTTCATATCTTAAATTCACTCTGTTATCATCTAGGGTCTATTATTCTTTCTTCTGAAGGTTTGAATATACGATTCACAATTTACAGATTGAAGCATTTTTAACATTCATTTTACGTTGCCAAATTTTTCACGAGTATTTATCGAAATAGTTTGGTTAGATTAGCGAATTCAAATGTGACTAGGTTTTAACATTCTATGAGTTGTTTGTTGTCATTTATTCATAGGGAGAGTAGATAAATGACCTCGTTCTTAGAGTTCAGAGGAGCTTATTCATTCGCAGGTGAACTACTGAATCAAAAAATTTAAAGTGGAAAAAGAATGGAATCTCGTTATCGAATTTATCAAAAAAGAGAATCTTACACAGCGTTTATAACCGTATAGAGATGTTGCTTTCAAGCAATTAGAAACAACAGTGTGCAAGGTATAATGGTACTTGTTTTGCTTTTTATCATGCAAGTACAGAAAATGAAAATGTTGGTCTGTTACTTCTTACTTGCTGCCGGAATGACACAAGCAGGTAACACCAGACTCTGTCGCGAGTCCTGTTCTTGTTTATTCTTTGTTGGATTATTGACTTAGTTATTAACTCTTTGAGTTTTTATTGTTATTTGTTCGTTCGTCGTTCTCTTCGTTTGTTTACTATGATCACATATGGTTCAGACATATAACAAACAAATTGCCAGAATTTGAGTGTTTGATGAAAGGTGTTATGGTGAAATGCTTCGCCACTTGTGAACCACTGAAGTTCATAGACATTACCTGCAAAAACGGCTTGAATGTTTTAAGGTTTTGGAAGCTTCGTCTAGATATTTCAAAAAAAACTTTCCGAAGCTGATAACCTGTATTAATCCCTCCAGCATGACCCCTGTCATCCCCTCCTTGATGTCATAATAAATGCTTGGTGCTGGACTAATCTCTTTGCAGATGTATTCAATGTAATTAATTTCCTAATCAATACAAAAAATCATGTTTTTCTTTATTACACATTTTTCAACACAGAACCGAGTCCGCAAATTTTCAAACCGCTTAATGGTCTTGTAAAGATCAAAGGCGAAGGAAAGATTGATAACGGCAAGACAGCGTTAAGTCTCAACATAAAAATAATTGGGAACGGCGGCGCTGGTGGCATTGGTAAAGGAGCACAGCAACGTCCCGGACCTCCAACACCAACAATAGGTAAAAGCTAAAGATTATAAAGAGTCTTTATTTTACGTTGATAACTCGATATAGTCTTCTCACTAATGAACCCGAGGCCGAAGATTCAGGAAAGAAGACCGGATTTGAGGTCCAATCTAGGAACTGAACTCGAAACTGCCGCGCAGTTGACGTCGAACTATTAAATTAACTGCGCTAATCTTTTCTCCTTCAAAACCAAGAACGTAAAGGCCAACCTTATTGCCACCACCGGCAACCACAGCCACTGAAATGCCCAACTTTAAACCCACCAGCACGTTTCCAAAAACATCAACTGAACAACTAGGAACACAGCCACCACGGCCACAGAGTTGCTTAGCTTTGGACCGTAATGCTGCCTGCACCTAAGAGGAAAAGACCAAGAGAAGTGGGTTGTCCTCCGGGAGGTAGTTGCAATAACACTTACTGTAAGCAAGCTTCCTTTTACAATGGTCTCTTGAAGACAAATGACAGTAGCGACAACTGTAAAACGTCTCTTCTTGCGGAATTTACTTGTCAAATAAAAACAGAGAAACTCACGGCCAGCAAACGGAGATTCAGCAGAAGATAGTAAACACTTGGAGTCGCTATAAATTAGAAAGGTTAAATACGGAAACAGTTTCGGAACCACTTGAAAATTTTTTGCAGTTTTTCGTTCTTTCTTTTTTTTTCTTCCTGTGTTATTATCATACATATATATCCAGTATTTATGAAGGATAGGCTACGGCCATAGGGGCGTTGAAAAATGGCGTTTCTTCATTGACGTCCTCTCCTAGGCTCTTACATCCTCATCTGCATAATCTTAATGAGTGATTCCTCATCCTTCCTAGGGTTTTCCGTTGAAGACGAGTCAGCCTTGGCAGAACATAACAAATTCCGCAAAATTCACCTATCTCCCGAGATGACATTAGACAAGAAGATGTGTGACGAAGCCAAAGCTTACGCAAGGAAGCTGGCCAATCTTCGAATGATGATACATTCATCTGACTTAAAGGACCAAGGAGAAAACTTATCCTATGGTTGTTGTACGGGATGTGACAAAGCGCGAACTGTGGAGGAGGCAGTGAAGGGCTGGTGAGAGTTTGCGTGAGGAAATAGATCATTACATTATTCATTCAAAATATTTTCCCAATTCTGATTGGCTAAAAGCACATGCATAATTCACCATAACCAGCTACTTGTAATGTACCAGGAATTTGTATATCAAAACACAGAGAACTCAACACCATTTAACTTTAAGTCTGTAAGCACATGGCAAGAAGGACCTAATGCACATGTGCGAGGCGCGTAAGGATTCATGGGATATGACAAATGCCCCCTCTTGAAGCAAAGGGAGGAAAAACTGAACCTCATAAAAATACAGAGTAATGTACTGATAGGGACAAGTCCTAAAGTCACGTGAACACTTAAGTTTACTAAAGACTAGAACCTCTGAGGCGTTTTACGCTCTCTGAGAGGGTTGCTCAGGCGCTGATGCTTGAAGCTCTGGATCTCTTACAGATGAATCCTGCGTTGAAGAAAAAGCATCAGCCATGCTATCCATGGCTGGAGTGTCAAGTACAGGCATAGCCTCTTTAGACTGTGAAAGGGTTGGTGTTGTAACAGGCCTTTCTCCCATTAGCTGGGGTTCACGAGCTAACTCTAACCCTAGTGTGGAAGGTATGAATCGTGGACGTAATTGTTCTTGATGCCGCTTCCAGATAATGTCTCCGACCTGAACCACAAAATTTCGGGGACTGACTGTTTTAACAATGGTCCCTGGAATCCATTTGGCTCCTTTGCCAAAATTGCGCACAAAAACTGCTTGGTTTGGTGTAAACTGGGGTTTTTTATCAAGGTTGTCTTGAAAAACATTAACTTCCTGTTTTGAACTTTTGGCTCTCAGTGCACTGAATCAAATTCTAGGCTGTGTGTTCATAAGTAATTCTGAGGGTGATTTCCCTAACGCGGTGGGTGTAGCCCTGTAAGTCAACGAAAACCTGTCCAATTTTGTTTGCACAGACTCGCCTGTATCTCCAATCTTGCCCAGTTTATCCTTAAATTCACCCACATAGCGTTCTGCTAACCCATTTGCAGCAGGATGTCCTGGAACTGTGAGAGTATGAAGGATGTCGTTCTCTTTTAGAAATTTCTGGAATTCGTCGCTCGTTAACTGAGTCCCATTATCTGTTACCAGATGCTCAGGTAAACCAAAGTAACTAAAAATGTGTCTCAAAGCAGTAATAGTGTTGGTGCTGGTGGCATGAGTCATGGGCACTATCTCCAAAAATTTGGAATAAGCATCCACCACGACCAAAAACATCTTGCCAAGATAAGGCCCAGCAAAATCTAAATGTAATCGTTTCCATGGTCCGCCTGGTGAGGAACCATGAAGCAGCTGGGGCGCGTGGGTGCTGGCGATTTAGCAGATTCTTGACAAGCAGGACATAGTTTAGGTCAGGAACAAAACATGGTTGGGAACTGTGTAGCGCTGATAAGTTGATTACAATTAAAATTTGTCTTTATGTTCTTAGCGCTAAAATTTTTGAAAATCCATAGTTTAACTGTCTCCTCAATTTGCTTATCAAGTCCAGGCCACCAACAGTACTTTCGAGCTAATTGTTTCATTATAACCATACCCAGGTGTTCTGCATGCAAATCGGCCAATAAGAAAGCCTGTAGTGACTCTGGTACAACGACTCGCGAGTTCCACAGGAGGATACCATCTTCATGAGAGAGTTCAAGCCTTTCGCTGTAGGAAGGTTGGAAAACTGGTTCCAGATTATTTCGCCAACCCTGCTGAGTAAACTGTAACACCATTCCAAGAACTGGGTCTCTCATGATTTCCATAGCAACTACGGACGTATTTAAAAACTGATCTTCTTCGATAAACATCACGTTTACAGTTACCTGTTCTGCAGCAGACTGCTTGTATTTAATAGGCTTCCTAGACAAAAATCCGCAAACACATTGTCTTTGCCCCTTATGAATCAATTGTATGGTCATAAGCAGCTAAAAGTAGTGCCCATCTTTTGATCCTTGCTGCTGCCAACAGGGGTACGGACTTTTGTTCCCCAAGTAACGTAATCAAAGGTTTATGATCTGTTGGAAGTTTTAAGTGTCTACTGGCGATATTTGGTCAGGCCAAAAACGACAGCTAATGACTCGCGTTCAATTTGGGAGTAATTTTGTTCTGCATTGTTCAGTATCCTCGATGCATAGGCAACAGTTTATAATACACCATCTGGTCCAGGTTAAAATAATGCAGCTCCCACAACCACTGAAGAAGCGTCATACTGTAGAATTGATACAGCCATAGGATCATAGTGGTGTAAAACCGAATCAGAGCACAGAGCAGCCTTGATGTTATCAAAAGCGTCCTGTTCCAGTTTTGACCGTCTCCATGGTACCTCCTTACGAAGTAATCCGTACAAAGGTGAAGCCAACTTTACAAAATCCGGCACAAATTTACGTAGAAAATTGGCTGATCCAAGGAATGACTGTAATTCAGAAAAATTTGTTGGAGGTGCTGCATCCTTTATTGCCTGCACTTTCTCACCAGTAAGTGAAATCCCCGCAGCAGAAATGGTAGTACCAAGATACTCTACTTTATCCAGCATGAAAAAGAATTTATCAGGGTTAAGCTTAAGACCGCAGTCCTATAATCGTGTTAGTACTCGATGAAGATTTTCCAGATGGACTTTATCTGATTATCCTGAAATAAGGATGTCATCAATACGGACACAGCAGCCTGGAAGGTCTTTAAGGACATATTCAATAGTGCGTAGGAAGATTGACACAGCACTACTCACTCCAAAAGTCAGGCGCTTGTATTGGTATAGGCCCAAATGAGTGTTAATTGTGGTGTATTTTCTCCTTTCTGGCGTAAGCTCTAGTTGATGGTATGCAAGAGACAGGTCAATCTTAGTGAATTTTTTCCCCCCGATAATGTACTCAGTAGTTCCTCCAGAGTTGGTATGGGGTATTGTTCTAGGACTGAAAATTTTTTGATGGTGACAGAGTAGTCCCCACAAATTCTCAGGTCTCCATTTGCTTTAACAATATGGACTGTTGGTGATGCGCACTCGGAATGCTCTACTTTCTCAATGATGTCCTCTGCCACCAATTTCTCCAAGGCCTTTTCGTACTTAGACCAAATTGCAAATGGTACTACTCGTGCTTTGGTAAACACAGGGCTTTCATCACTTACTCGCAGTGACACTTGGATTCCTTTAAGTTTACCTTCTGAACTAGTGTCAAACAAATCAGAGTACTGTTGACCTCTATCCTGCAGCTGCAACACTAAAAATGTTCTGCCAAGGTAATGTAAACTTGGACATCATATCCCGCCCCAGTAGTGATGGTCCCTGAACTACACGAATTAACAGGGTACCCACCTGGTCTCCAACTTTGACATCCATCTCCTTCTCACCAAGACACTGGATAATGTCCTCAGTACAGCTTTTCAAAAGCACTGTAGGCGGTCTGAGTGTAGTTACTTGTCCTCCTATTTTGCTAAAATCAGCAGAACTCAACAATGTCTCAGAACTGCCCGTATCAACTTCCATAGGGACTTCATGGTCTTCAGTTGTAACTGTAAGTTTGTATAAGGGCGGTGTAATTGACGAATTTCCAGAAGATTTCACCCTTTTCATATAAACTGTACAAGAAGGGACTGAATTCTCGTGCTCCTCCTTGGTACATGTTCCTGATGTTGGAGCAGCTAATACTTGGTGAGTGGTGTTGTTACCACCAAATTCTTTCTTTTTCTTGAAGCATGCCTTAGCCACGCTTTCAGTTTCACTTTGTACAGTGTGATGGAAGCGGTAGGTCTCGGCAACTTCAAGTACCTTAGGTTTGTAGTAGTCTTTCAGAATTTGTGTAAGCTGATCGTAAGTTTTATCAGCGGGTAAATCAGGAAGACAAAGACCTTTGAGCGTACTGTAAGCGATCAAAGTGCCAAATTGCTGTGAAGTCATCGCTAGCACTTTAATTCCTCATCCTCTTCGCCAGTTTGTAATGTACCAGGAATTTGTATATCAAAACACAGAGAACTCAACACCATTTAATTTCAAGTCTGTAAGCACATGGCAAGAAGGACCTGATGCACATGTACGAAGCGCATAAGGATTCATGGGATATGACACTACTGATGACCAAATTTGGAAGAATTTTGCGTTTAATGAACCGACGACGTCAAAAGTGCAGCCTCTTTGCAGGTTAATGCACCGTTAACCGGGAAGACCTGGGGACGAGGTTGTGAAAACAAATATGGCGGACATTTCACTCGTTTCAAGAGTAAGAACTAGGCGAAATAATAGCTAAAAACATCACAAGAACAGCAAGAAGACAACTCGAAGGGCGACATCTAGCCTGCTATTTGGAGAATATTTGCGGAGCTGAACAACCCTAAACGTGCACTATCGAAGATGAACTTAACATCGATCTGATCGGTGAAGGTAAGCATGTTTAGCTATGTTTTTAAACTAGGAATTATTTTGAATGAATAATAAAACAATATTGAATTCGGCTATCGTATCATATGAAGAATTATTGAGATCTCGGAGGGTGTTATCCGCCTCGGCCTACGGCCTCGACGGATAAACTCAGCCTCATTCATTAATTGTTAAATATTCGTGGCCATATTCACGTTTGAGAATGATTTGGCGAAAGAAAACACTTTGCTTTGAAACATCCTGTTGAACAAAGTTGTAAAGAATGACTGATATCAGGTTTTTTTCTTTTTGTTTTGTTTGTTTTTGTTTTTGTTTGTTTGTCTGTTTGCTTTTTTTTGTCCTTATTTTTTGCAAACTTAACCCTCGAGGAAAGCTTAATAGGCCTTTTGCATTAGTTGATCACGTGATCAACTTTCAGTAAAATCTCTGAAAAATTTTGTTATCCCGAGCTGAAAGAGCATTGTAAAATTATGTAACCTGTATGTTGTCAAGTAATTATGTAAATATTGCGATGGCCGCCGAAATAAGGAAAAGAACAACAGTTTAACAATTTCAGAATTTGCAAGGACTTGTATGGAAATCACTCAAGCGTGACTGGGTGGCAAGAGTTGTTTTTCCCATACAAATAACTTCTAGTTTTCGGTGGCCGTTGCAATCGCTACTTTTGATCGAGATATACGGCTAATAATTTACAGGTTACCTAATTTTAATATGCTCTTTCAGCTTGTGCTAATATAACTTTTGCAAAGCGAACTGTTTTCGTGTTTACCAAAATTTGAGCATGCCACCAGCTAATACAAAAGACCATCCTGGACCTCAGAATTGCAAGAGCAGCGTTTCTACACTAGACTATTAGCTGCCTTTGCAACCCTCTTGTTGTTTAGCTGCTCTTGTGTCCCTACCTTAAAGAAAAATAGAAAGTGACTTTCACACTACCGATTCCCCTTTTCTGCTTCAAATTTACCTAATCTGTAATCTATGAATGAAAAGCGCGGCAGATAATGAGCTGCTGTGTTTCTTATCTTTGTAAATAACCTTTTAGGTACGACGAGGTTTGCGACTATAATTTCGCTACTGGAACGTCTGCAGGTGTTACGGGTCACTTCACCCAAGTAGTGTGGAAAGGAAGCACCAAGCTAGGCATTGGGAGAGCTGAATATACCGACGGATCAAAAAAATGTGCTTACATAGTTGGAAGATACAAGCTACAGGGAAACATGGGTAATCAGTACAAAAGCAACGTAGAAAAGGGAAGTTTGGACCCAAGATATTGCATTGCAGTTAAAGCAAAGAAGGCGAAGGTATTTGACAAAAATGGCCCAGTCTCGGACGTCTTGGGCGTGGAAACTACCAGTTTACCAGATGCTGCTCCAAAGACAGGCATCGTTAAAATACAGATTTTGAACAAAAAAAAGAAGAAAAACTTCGTTGGTTCCAGCATCATTAATGATAAGTAATCATGATAATTAAAACTCAATTTTACCGTATAAAAGCGTCATGTTTCCTCCCATTGGAAAAAAAAAGCACCCATTTCGAAAAAACTACACTTTTTGCATAGTAGTTTCAGCTTTGCCGTACTGTATTTATCCTGGTCTTCGTCGTTAAAATGACGCTTTAATTCAGATTAAGTATAGGAAGGTATCGGAACTATAACGAAGCTTTTTTCTGTGATAAAGAAACTATTGAAGTTTAATTCTTAAGTAAATGAGAGCCAAGTTTCTGAAACAAACGAAATGTTATCTCCATCTTAAGTTAGCATTACTGCTTTCTTAGAAATGACCTAATTAAATGAGGGGGTGAAAGTGGTTATTGCGTGATACGTTAAGTGTTTTTAATTTTCGTGAAAGGTGAAAATAAGAAAATAAAACCCGTGAACTGTGACTGGTTTGCTTGTCGTGATACGTAAACTTTAAAATCTTTTAATCAATATTCGTGCTTTTCAACTAATTTTTTTCGTGAAAATAGTCTCAACTGAAGACAAACTTTACAGGGAAGCCAGTGGACCTTCAAAAGACTCAAAGGCCGGTTATTTAAACGAAGTTTAGCCAGTGGTTGACAAAACCGTGTTCTAAGCCATTTTCAATTTTTTTCAACGCTTTTATCTTAACACCGGTTATAGCGAACGTTTCATGGCAGCAACAGGGTAAACTGGAGAAACAATTATTTTCTTAACCCTTTTCGGACAGCTAGGGTGGTATACGTCCATATGGTACAATGTATGCCATTTTCCCCTGACCCATTTAGCTTTCAGTTGATGTTAATAAATTTGTAAGCAACAACGTCAGCAAAGATAGATCTTTCCAGCGATACCTGTTTTGGGATATTCTGACTAATCCTGACAGATTTACACTCACAAAAAAAGGTAAAATTTTTGGGAAAATTCCACTGCCAATTTCGCTGTTTACATGGCCTTGAAAATTGAATTTGTCCCTTTCCTAAAAAGTTAGCCAGCCACAATTCCATGCAAAAGAAAGACGATAAAGTGGGCAACAAAACTGCCAATAAAGAAGAAAAAAAAGAGAGCGAGATAGAAAGATCGAAATAGATCCGCCAAAAAAGTCCAAATTTTGGCTTTTGCGCATGCGTGAATGCAAAAAAGCTTTTTAATTATGTCAGATTAGTCGGAAAATATGTCTTTTTTCTTGCAAAACTCGTTTTTAACCATAATTATGGTAATTAGCCGAAAACTAGTCCAAGGAAGGCGAATTGGTGAAAAATGCTGGTTTTTTTGCTACTCGCCGGCCGTCACCAAAGGGTTAAAATAACCCACTTAGAAAGAGATCTGGATGCCTAATGATTTCTTAAACCGCAGCCTAAGTTGGGCTTTGTTTTAAATAACCGGCCCTTACAGTCGTTCCTATATATGTCGTCCTAAACTATGGCCAAGCCTGCGAGAGCAAACAACTTTTTTGGCTCTTTTTTCACCCGCCCAGAAAAGGGCGTCTGCGATCCTGAGCTGGGAAACGATTTCCGTGAGCTGATGAGTCAGTTTTTTTTTTCAACCAATCATAATTCAACTCTTATTTTCGTGGAGCTAACATATGTGGGATTTGCGTGGGGATCTTGGTTGCATTGGCCGGCAGTTTTTGAATTAGAGGGACAAGTTTGTAAATTGGAAGGAGTAATATATTATGTACATCCTAAATCTGTGGGATCCATGGGTTTTCTTAGAGTTAAAGAACGAATTCGAGTACCCACAAAAAGTAAGCATTCTTCCCTTGAAGCTCTTAAGCGCCACATCATTGAGTACACTGGATTGAAGTTTGAGTCCGAAAAGCGGGGTCTAATAAGATCCTCGATAGAAATAAAACTCTGTTGGTTAGAAAAGTCTGCAGGATGAAGCAAAGCTTCTACGGTATACAACGACGACAACGAGATTGAAATGACATATAAAAGCTGAAATTTGGGGTGTGTATGCCAAACCAGATTTTAAGACCTGGGACAGCTCACAAATCGAAAAGACACAACTCCAATTTTGCAAACGTCTTCTAGAGGTAAACAACAAGGCTTCTTATGTTGCTTGTAGAGCCGAACGTGGTCGCTTACCTTTAAATATCACTATCAAACAAAAACCCTCAACTACATTTTCTATATTTAGTCTAAAGATGAAGAATCTATCGTTAAGCAATCTTTTTTAATGTCATTTGATTTATACTGCAATGATAAGAGTATAGCTTTCACTCTGACTCACGTGATGGAGATGTCCATCAGAATATTTCAACCTACCTGATTTCAACACTGATTTGTTACCGATATACCGCTATAGTAAAAAACTTCACAGGTTTAATGAAACAATAATATGTATCATATTGGCAAAACACCCTCCACCGATCTCAAAAGCTACACTTTTTAAGATCTTTTAAAAGCGATTATAACACCTTTAATTACCTAGACTTGATGAGAGGAAAAACTGAGAGAAAGAAATCAGTAAACCTACGAATAAGTAACCACAAACTCACAAAGTAATGATAGAACTTGCAAGATACAATCAAACTATAAGAGATAATAGACCTTTTTACTGATATGGCGGCCATACTGAATTTATTAGATTTAAGGAGTATTATGGGATGCCCAGGGGGCACTCGCTCAGTATTTATGCACGTTTTTCGGGCAAAAAGAGAACTTCATTGTATATTCCTCGGGGAAGAAGGCGATCATTATTAAATCCAAACACGGCACAACGATCGTTTTTTCCCATTACAACCTCCGAAAAACGCGCATAAATATTGATCCGAGCATATGGGATTGGGCTCATGCCCCCTGGGCAGCCCATAATGATGCCCGCCGTATCGGTAAAAAGGTCTATAGGAATTGCCCTTTTTGTGGATCCAATCAATTAGAAGACGAAATTCACTTCATTTTTAATTGTTCTAAATACTCTTTGATTAGGAATAAGTTTTACAATAAATAATAAAACCTAAACAGATAAGGGTGTGTGCCGACAGGTGGAAGTTGACCCCTGAGAGAAATTATCTAAACTGATCAGCAAAAGCTGGACAGACACCACAAGCCCTAAGAACGATTGCAAGCAGTAAACAATGGTATCATGGAATATGCGCCTCCTTGATGATAAATGAAATATTCCTCTAAGCTTTTTCTGCTCGGAAAATTGGGAAATTGGGGGGAAATACTGAAGAAGATATTTCCAGAGACAGCAGTAAAATAGAAAAAATCCATTAGTTTAATTATCATCCAGCGCGCAGAGCCAAAATAACGAAAACGTCACTTCGCAGTCCTATCAAAAAGTTTTCAGTCTCCCTTCGACGCCAATGAGAGGAAAAGTGCAAGAAAGAAGTAAAATATTCCTTTTTCTTATTTGTATATAAAAAATATGTAAGTTAGTCAGCAGATTTCCAAGCGTGAAAAATTTGCATACTTGAAAGTATGCACGAAAGTACTTTTGACTGGCTGTCTAGGTGAAATGTCATTCAATCAAAAAAGTGAGCGGTCGACGTTTCTAAACAGATTTGTATCAGGCTATTTCAAGTTTTCGTTTGACTTGTAAGCCAGATTTTATTTGCACATCGAAACGACAAGAGTTCCTTTGTGGGTAAGCTTGCACGAAAAACCGAGCATTCTACTACCAGAGGGGATGTCAGAGCATGGCAATTAAGAAGAGCAGCCATTCTGCTCCCGAGAAGGGAAAAAATGGAAGCAATCTCACAGCAGTGCGCGAACAAGCAACATTTCCCGCGGAATCTTTAACAGAAAAAAAGGCGGGTATTGGTGTTGCAAAAACTCCTAAAATTCTTTTGGACGTTGACGTATAGCCCACGGCCAGGAGAAGACGACGTCAGGTTTGCTATCAAAGCCTTAAAGAGCGGAAAAGCCGGTGGAGTGACGGCACTGATGCAGAAAATGCTAAATTTCTTATACTATTACTATTTGATACACAGAACCATCGCGAATGACTAAACTAACTTCCCTATGGTAAAGCTGGTGAAGAAATCTGGACTTTGAAGATGTCCCACTGGAACCTTATTACAATGTTCTCCAATCATAACCATCTGCATGAAAATACCGTTAAAAAGTCAGGCTTAATTAAACATTAGTACCTCCAAAACGCAAAACGCAAACCTTGTATATCAACCTAACCACAGCTCCACCCTTTGTTACCTAAGTAACATTGTGAGCACCATTAATGCAGCCAACAGCAAAGACATCACTACACGTCTAAGAAAGTGTAATGCGCCTTTGCTACACCAATGACACACTCCCGATTATATCACTTTCTTTACTGATGCTCGTACGTATACTTTGATTTCTTACAGGCGGGCATTTGGAATTTTGCGGTGTCATAGTCAAGGATCCCTACCAATCAATAGCTATCCCCTTCTCATGTTACGTTTATCTTAGTGTTTTGGGTATCCCTGCTTAACCTTCTGGGATACACTAACATAATACCAAATATATATTTCAAAAGCCGAGATGTTGAATGGTTCCCATGTGCAACATTTCTTATACGTAAACGCGGATTTCAAACTGCCCAACATCCGACCACAGCGGGACAGCTTTTGTCGAGTACTGAAAAAAATATGTATTTTGTCTTTTCCGGATAGGCAGTCATACATGATCTCTTTTTGTCAAATAGAGAAAGAAAGATCCAGCTGAAGTTTTACTCACTGAATCAGACAGTGGTGGCGCTAGTATAGAAAGTAGCATCATCAGCAAAAAGGTCATTTCAAAAATTCTAGGCTTGGGGCAGGTCACGTATGAAAAAAAACAAGAGGACAGACCCAAAATTGAGCCTTCAGAAACGCTACAGCACAGTTACTGTACTTTCGTATCAGATAAAGTGTCAGCGAGGTTCACATAATGGCGACGGTCGTACAGATACATATTTAACAGCTTTTGAACCAAGAAGTTTTGAAAAACAGCCACCATGCATTTGTAATTGGTTATAGCGGGGCTCCCACGCGCGCCAAGCGCGCGTGGGACAGAGCCCCATACCCATAGA